CATGATATCTGTGAGAATTTATTATCCTACACGATAAGGCAATTAATTTAATTCTCTATAAAAAATTCTTAAAATCTCACGTGAAACTTAAATATTTATTATAAAAATAAAATTAATTTTAATGATGGGCCTTTATATGTACAAGATTGATCCTCATACTTGCAGAATCTTATTCATTTACATAGTATGAAATCATTCTAAGTGCCTACAGAGATTCTTAAAATTTTACACAACAAATAGATAATCGAGATATTTACATTTGTAATCAGTGTATAATATAAATTTAGCATTTGAAGAAACAAAGAAAGAACTATTTTGATATTTCACTCCTCTTTTAACTTGAGGATGTGTTCTTCAATATTTTTCAAAGTGGCTTAATGCTCAGATATGGCTTTCAAAAGAAAATAATGAGAGTAGTGGTGATAGCATCTAACAATTACAATAAACACGATTCACATGTCATCTATACCATTAACACCCAATTTATTTATTATGAATTTCTCATATCATATAAATATTGTGATTTCATGGCAGACCTAAAAAGATGTTAAGCTCTCACTATTATTCATAACTAAAGGTGTAATCTGTTTGAGGCTCAAGAAGAATAAATCCTTCCATATTAGATTTCTCCATGAATGCAAATGATAATAATAAGAACAAAACCTTTCCATCCAACCAGATAAATAATCAAAATATTAGACATGATAATAAATAAAGAGAAAGAAGAAATACCTTCAGGGTCTAACTGCAAGACAATGAGAAACAGAGAGTATGCATATTAATACTCGAACCGCGATGGCCAACTATGTCCAGGCTATAGGGATTCAGTCCTCTTGCATGGTTCAAAGGGTACTTCTTTACCACGCTCCTGCTCTTTTTGAACACACGGCAGGAGTTTCCCTTAGTCACCTTGCTTGTTGGATTTAGAGTGAATGCTGTATTCATGCATGACCTTCTCGCCTCTTGGAGCTAGCTCTCTCTCCTCGATTTTCCTCGTTCTCGGTCTCCTTCTTTCTCGCGTTCTCGGTCTCTCTTTCTTCTTCCTTTTCTTCTCGTCTGTTACTCTGTTTTTTGTCTAGCTTTATTTCTCTTCTTCATCTGGTTCTCTTCTCTCTCTCGCATTCTCGATCTCTCTTCTCCTCTCTCCATTTCTTCTCTCTTTTGGTGCTCTATTTTTTTTCTTTTTGTGTTCTGTTTTCCTTGTCCGTTCTCTGTGTCTCCCTCTCAGTTTTTCTGCTCTATTTTGACGTGCATTTTGTATCAATGCTCTCTTCTCTTCCTCTTGCCTTCTTCTTCTCTGCTTCTCCAATTCTTTCAGTTTTGGATCAGCGCTCCTTCTTCCTTGATACTCTGTTCATATTCTCTTTCTCTGTGCCTCTCGTCTCCAGTCTTCCTTTCAGTCTCTCTCTTCTCATTTTTGTTTCTCTTTTTTTCAGTCCCCTATTTTCGATGCTCTCCTCTCCATTTTTATGCATTTTCTCAGTCTCTCCTTCCTCTTGTGCTCTGTTTTTTTCTTCTATTTTTTCGTTCGTCCCCCCTCCAGTTTTTCGATCTCTCTGTTTTTTTATGCATGGCAGAAAGTCTGCTCTCTTCCTCCTCGTGCCTACGTTTTCAGAGAGACCAAGCTTTATGCATGCATGCGTCTCCCTCTGCTCGTTCGCGTGTCTGACTTCATTTCTCTTGCTGCTCTCTACTTTTGCTGTAACGTGCATGCTTTTTTCTCTCCTTCTATTTTTTTTTTTTTTTGTGCTTTCATGTACGTGTGTGCGTGTTCTGCTCAGTGAAGCTTTTGCTCTGCCTCTCTTTTGCTCTTTCATTTGGTCTGGCCGAGAGTCTGCTCTTCCTTCTCTCGTCTGACGTTTTTTGTAATGAAGGACCATAACTGATGGTTAAACACTGAAAAACTAGCATTTAACCTTCAGTTTACATATATATATATATACACACACACAAATGTGCATATATATGTATATTTAACCCCAATTTTTTCAATTGTTTATTTATTTTTATATTTTTGGTTATTTTTGAATGAATTAAAAGAAATAAGATCTTAACTAATAAAAGATTGTCTAGATTAAAATAAAATTAAACCCTATTAATTATTTTCTTGAAAATATAATCCTAAAAAGGATTAAATTTTATTTTTATATTTATATACTTTTTTTAATTATTTATTATTAATTTTATTAAATTAAAAAAAATGTCTGGATAAAATATAGTGTTTACAGAAAGCAAAGATGAAAATGAGTGAAGGAATAAGGAGAAAGACACCATTGGTTAGGCTTAAGGCTTACATCTGATTCTAATCTAATCTTTTAAAAAAATTTTAAAACTCAAAACGACATTGTCTCAGGGTTTTGGAGGAAAAAGTAGTAACCCATTCAACCTGCCCAACTTGTGGCGTTGAATAAATCAATTGAGTTTTCTCGAGGTCATTGGGGGTTGATTAGGATTGATTCCCTCCCTAAAAAGCCAACAAACCAAACCAGACACAAGGCCAATTCTCCGGTCCAGTTTTCCAGACCATAAATTTAATTGTTTTCACAACTATTTTATTTTTTATTTTTAAAATACAAAAATAGAAACATCTTTAAGTTGTTTTTTTTAATATACTATATTTAATTATTGAAAATTACAAGTATCATGATCAATTTCTATTTTAAACCACTACCATAACCACCTATAATCATATTATCAGTCTATCTTTTAATTCTATAACTATTTTTGAATTATATAACCAAACAAATTTTTTTTTGAAAAAATTTTAAAAATTATATTATAAAATATTTTTTAAAAACAAAAAATGAAAATAAAAACGAAATAAGCTCTTAATCTATAATTTCAAAAATTCAAGTGAAAGTAGTTCTTGATACAAATTAGTCTGCTTTCGAAGACCCAAAGTGGCAGTCAACATTTCCCACTATAATAATAATAATAATAATAATTTTATTATTATTTTATAATATTAGCGCAAATTAAATGCTTTTCTCTAGTCTTATTTATAGGATAGTGAAAGTATTTGTTTTAGTCTTATTTATGGCACAACTTTATAATTTTTGTGTTCATTTTGACCATTTTACTCCTATTAAATATTGGGTAGATTATTAAATATTTGAGTATTTTATTTTTTATATATGTATATTTAATAATGGTAAAGTTAAATTTATTAAAATTTTGGACTGAATTGATAAGGTTTAATTTTTTTAATTTTAATAAAATATATTAAAAGTAATTTATAAATAAAATTAAAAATAATACTTAAGACCATTGACAAGTCGTTCTAGTAACAATGTCTGAGTGTGAGGCTCAAGAACCGAACCGGCATTGATATACGTGTGCGTGAGTTGTATTAAATTGACTGCTTAAAAAAATACTTAAAAATGAAACTAATTAATTAATAATTAAGGAAAATATATAATACCTTTTATTTTCTGTATTCTTCTCAATTATTGATTAAATACAATTCAATTCTTATATCTTTTGAATTGAAGTAGTTTAATCATTATAATTTCTTTTTTTTTTTTTTTGCTCAGTACAATCCATTCATTGCAATTTCTTAACTCAATGAAATACGAAAACTAAGTGACATTGAGTTGAAGTTTAATTAAATTGACAATTGAGAGAAATTTTTCGGGACTAAAATTATATTATCTATTAATTAATCAATCCATGCATAGCTGCCTAATTATTGGAACGTGAGAGGATTTATTTATTTATTTGAGTACACAATTTAAATTTAAATTTTATATTCAATGGGCCTATGGTAACATATATTAATTTACTATAATGGGCCTTCGTTCCCTGGGCATTAGTAATACCCAACAACTTCTCACGTTGTTTAACCTTCAGTCCAACAATGGCCTATTATGCTTTTCTTTTCCTTTTTTTTTGGGGTAAAATAACGGCCTGTAAGTGCTTGAAAGGCAACTTAATCCATCTAATATGACCAAAACGAAAAGGGGGAAAAAAATCCCCAGGAGGGAGGGAGAATATGTAGGAACTAATTAGGGAAATAATATAAGGATGTTTTAGTCAAATATAATTAAAATTATGGAAATAGAAGCTTTTTTTTTCAATCTTCAAATATTTCATCAAACAATAGTTCTCCCACTGTCCTTAATTATAAGTCCCAGCTTTTAAATTTATATTTTCTCCAATTATGAGTCTTATAAAAAAACTCTAGGTGTAGTTAGAATAAAATATATTTTTTCTAACTCTTATAAACGGTGAAAATTACCTGTCTTTTGATAATTAATCGGTCTAGATGATTGATTGTATCTGAAACTATGTATGATATATATCGCTTTCTTTCTCGCTTTAAGAACACTTCAATTCAAGAGAAGTCAAATTCAAGAGATCAGAGAGAGAGGACCAAAGTTGCTGCTTATTCGTGGTGTGTGTGTGTGTGTGTGTGTGATCTGATAGACTGATACATCATAGAAAAATTGTACTTTTTTTTTTAAGTAAGCTACCACTACTTGAATAACACCATCTTATTCCTTCAGCCACACACAACACATAAACTAACATTTAAGAAAAATCAACACTACTACTGAACTTCAATATCATACTATAATTCTTCACTTTCCTTAATCATCGCTATTCACATTTCTCTCCTTCATGATTGTTACTGCACCAACCCTACCTATCTATTCCCGAATCTATATATATATATATATATTATTGCTTCCCAAATAAGCCACCTACCACAGACACTAACCATATTGCAATATCACATCTGTCACCTAAAACAAATTTGAATATTTAGTCTCAGACTCGCTCACAGACTATAAAATTTGAAAATGAAGTGAAAAGGGTATGGAGGAATATTTCCTAAGAACTTGGAAAAACTGGTTGATATATATATATAGGCACTGCTTATTATCATTATTATTATTATTTTGGGCAAGCATAAAGAGTAAGCTCTGCCAACAGCAGATACGATCTCTGGCTAAGGTACTGAGGGCAAAGGCAATGATTATTATCATTATTCGACTAACTTAGGAAAAATCATGGAAGGGAAAAGAAGACATGTCTTGCATCAGACCTTCCAAATCACAATGATCTCCCACAATAAGGTTTTCTCCTAAGTGCTCATTAATAATACTATGATTATTGATGATCTTACTATTTGCAAGCCCAAACATGTCCTCTTGATCCTCTTCCTTACTTGAGCTCTGAATTATCTGATGATGATCATTAGTGTATTTGAAGCAAGCATTATTGAAGTTGTTGTAGTGGCTTTTCACACTAACTAGATCATCAAAATTTGGGACACTACTGTCCTCAATGTTACCGCTAGGCTCTAGCAATATTGTCCCATAATCTCCATTACAAAGCCCTTCTTCTATATTGCCACCAACTTCTGAAGGTAAAGGAAAATTACCAGATCCTTCAATATTGTTCATGTCAAGATGATGATTCAATGTGAAAAAGGGTTCAGAAACTAATTGGTCTCCGAAAATGATAGGAACTTGCATGGACGTCAAGGACGATGATGACGTGGAGGAATTAGAATAATTCACGGTGGCATTAATGGGTCGATCATGCTTGTCAAGACATGATTTTTAGGGTCTGATGATGACGTCGACGGGGATGAGTTGTTTGGTGATGAAGTTAAGGAAGTGGTGCTGTTGTTTTTTAGCCTTTTCTTCAATGCGGAGTTCCAGAAATTCTTAATTTCATTGTCTGTTCTTCCAGGAAGACGTGCAGCAATATGTGACCATCTGAACATATATTTGCAGAAAATTAAGAAACAGGTGACAGATCAGTATTAATTAGACATATAGAAGATCAATTCAACATAGAAACAGAAAGTAAACGTACTTGTAATGCAATTAACACAGCCCTATAGAATTTTAAATTATCCCTATCAGAGATTTACAGAAGGTTACAAATTGAAGCAAGACCTATAGCTAAAGCAAAAGTGTAAATATGCTATCTAAAAGGATAAAGTACATTATGAACTGAACGTGGATAGCAGATCAATATGGTTTTTACATGTAAGAAAATGTGAAAGATACTTAATTGCATTACATATTAGTACTAGAGAATAAAAAATCATCAGGGTGTCTCATTTTGGATTTTTTTTTTTTTTTGGGCTGTTGTTAAGAATGGGGAGCGATGCATGGAAGGTAGGGGAGAACAAATGGGCAAAGAGTGATATAAATATACCACATTGTAATCCAAAATCTCAAACTGAAGTTTATTGGTTCTTTCATTTATTATATATTATTTATTAAACTCAATTTTATCTTAAGTTCACCTACATTTGAACAACCTAATAATGTGAAATGTATGTAAATGCTCTTAACAAGAATTCCCAAACAACAGATCAAAGACACAGAAAATTCACATTTCATCTTCAGCTGTTGGTTGTTTTTCATGAGAGACGTTTGTACTTTGATTTCATGTTTGATACACAGAATGTATTTATAAAGAAAAGGGGGATAGGTACATTTATCATTTCCTTTCTAGAAAACACTTTTTTACCTGCCAAAGCATTAGTTCATTGAACAGCTATTATTTACTCTTTATATAGTTTACAATGTGCGGTATCAATAATAAGAAATCAAAACTGTGATGAAACTGAGAATAGGGTTAGGGTTTTTCTTGCAGAACATTTCTGCTCTGCTGTGCGTCACATTCTCTTCAAACCTTGACTTACGATAGTATATATATACATATACCTGTTGCCTAGAAGAGAGTGAAGATGAATGATGAGGTGTTCTTCGTGAGGAGAAAAAGGGCCACGTTTGAGGTCAGGTCTGAGGTAATTGATCCAACGAAGACGACAGCTTTTGCCACACCTAAGGAGTCCAGAGTTTCTGGCAATGTCACTCCAACAACCTTGTCCGTTCGTCAACATGTACCTCATCAGCTTCTCGTCTTCCTCTGGCGACCACAGTCCTTTCCTCAGCTTGCTCTTGTTGACATTGTTGCCCTTCATTTTGTTGTCCTTCCCCATTGTCATCATCAAATCTAGCTCTATATAGCTAGAGACACAGACAAGCAAGCATTAATAAGAAGGCAAGTTTCTTGTTTTTAAGTGATGGATGGCCTTGTGTTCGATTTAAGAGAAAATTACTATATATATGTGAATGTGGGGGGAGAGAGAGAGAGAGAAGGTAACTTCATGGGGTGGGAATGGTGATGATGATGATTCTGATGGTTCCGTGGGGTTTGCTTCAGATATGAATCATATGAATATTATGTGTTTACGTATTGAGGCTTTTGTGTTTGGTTGGTTGATCATGGGTAGAGTACAAAACGGACTCGAGGGGGACCTTCCTTCACAAATTATATACCATATTGCACTTTTATATTATTATGACATTTTTTTTAAAAAAATATCATTTTAGAAAATTAAGGTATTTGGGCTCTTTCCAAGGTGCAATTAATAAGATTTAAAAAAAAAAATACCCTTAACTAGGAGGTGTAATTAATAAATTTTTAAAATTGACATTTAAGTATATTATTTAATAATTATTTTAATCAATATTTGAAATTTTATTTTTCAAAATTTTTTATCAAGAATGTAACTCTTGAGACTTAAGTGTCATTTTTCCTATATTATGTCAGTCTGGATTGTGAATACAGAGGATGCATTTGAAGAAAAATAGAGGAAAAACGTGAATGAATGTTATGAGATATCACTCCATACCATATGCAATTTCATTGTCTTATTATATCATTCTTTTTGAATGCATGATCGCTTCGATTCAATGTACAGAGACACGTACACTTTTGTTGTATATAGCGGAGCATCTAGATTGATTCTTAAGCAAATATTTTAATAACTAAAAGTTGATAAAATAATCATAATAAATAAATAAAGACACAGGATATAAGATATTTTCTTAAAACAATAAATAACTCTCACTTTAGACATATTTTATGCATTATGAGTAAATCAAATTAATTATATTACAATACACTTTATATATAGCATTGATAAAATGATCATTGTAATTGAGAATTTTTTCTGCCATTAATTAATATTAATAATACATAAAGAAGAAAGTAATAAGAGACAGGGAGAGGGACGGTTGATGTTCTTTTCTTTGACTCAATTTCTTGTCCCTTTCCATATAGTTTACTTCACTCACAAGGTAATCCTCTTCTTTCTTTTTTAAAACGTAAGCCCTTTTGCTTCCAATTCACATAATCCCCCCCCCCCCTCTCTCTCTAGGGTTTAGAGACTTCAAACTCACGTGTGTTTGTGTGTAAGATATATATACATACACTTACTTCCTCCATCAATTATAAGATAATTTTAAAAAAATTTTGTTATTTCAAAATATAACACATTTGTGAAAAAATAAAGTTTCATTAATATTTCTTTTCCAATTTACTCTTATCTTCAAGTAGAGAAATTAAAATAATATTATAGTATAATAATAAATGTATATTGGAGTATTTTTAAAAGTTTATAATTTTATTTTAAAAAATAAATTTAGAATTGTCATTACTGTGTTTTATTGGTATGCACAATATTATATCAAATTGTTTTATAATTTGAAACAAAAAGAGTATATAGTATATTATTTCTGGACCATAATTTAAGGTACTTTCTAGAAGTCCTGTATTAAGGCAATCATGTAGAATATTGAATGAGGTATAACTATAAAGATATAAAATTTTTATAAAAGCTTAAGGTTCATCATCTTTTTAGAAAACTATAAAGTATTACTAATGTCCTATATATTGTGGTCTAGGGGAGTGTAAGATAATATATATACTCCCTTTTTGTCTTCAATATAAGGCATACTTTCTTCTAACCATAATATGATACTTTTTAGAAATTCTTTTTGTACAAAATATAGGCATTAGATAGGTTTTATATTTTTTTCTAATTATATTCTTTATTTATTATAGTTTACTCAAGTAATTAATGAGAGTTTTTAAATATGTCAAATGTCATATCTACTCTACTCAAGGGAATGATGATTAAAAAGATGTGAAAATTTTAAAACAAATCAAGATTTTAACAAATTTTTTTAAAATTGTAAATTAGTTAACAATAATTTATATTGTAATCTAGAGAGAGTATGTCTCGAAGAGGAATGGTCATTACTATATAAGTCACTTGATGGAGTAATAATTAAGTATTTTCAAGTTGCCTTACATGAAAATATAATTTCAATTCAAAATTATTTTTATCATCTATTTTTTTGTGCTCTCTCTCATTACTCATGCCATATATTTGACTCAAGCTTCAATATTGTTAAAATTAAATGTAATATATTATGGTATTTTTGAAATTGGAATTTTTTTTCCTACAAAAAAACATCTAAAAGTGTTGCAGGGTTGAGAAGTGTTGTTGATGGGATATGTGTAATTTAAGATAGTGTCTGCGATAGCTTACATTTTTTGCATGTTTTTTCATTAGGGTCTAACTACTTATTTTAACTACCATATACACATCTGAAGCGTTTGATGTCCCCTTCCTAACAGCAATCTCCTTTTCATTCTTTTTTTTTTTTTTCATATCTTGTCAAAATCTTAATTATTTATATAGGTTGCCATAAATTAAAGCATATTAATCACTATAGTTTTAATATATTTATGTATTTTATTTATTTTATTTTAATGTCAACGTGAAACATACATGACAAACAATATTTCATATGTAGGTCGCAAGTCCAATCTAAAGGCTTCACTTTAAATCTGCCGAATTTGTGAATCATCATCAAAGGGATGCCATAGTTTATTATTATTATTGTTATCATCATGAAGTGAGCAGTACATTCAGAGTTTCAGTTGTAACCAATAGGCTCAAACATTAGTAATATTAATCAATATATTAATATAGAATAAGCTAAATTATACATGATGTAACTGAATTTTTTTTGCAAATAACTTTGCTTATCCTTAAAACGTTACATAAACTCCTCCTAAACTTTTAAACAACATATTATTATGCGCAATTAATAAATAAAAAATTAATCTATAGGTTCTTATAATTATTTTTAATTTTAAATTAGGCTGCTATAATATATTTTGTTTGAATTGAATCCTTATAATTTGATCCATTATATTTATTAATTCATAAAAGTTGAACGTCTTGAATTTTTCTTTTGGAAAAAGGTAAAAAGATTTTTTTAATTGAATCCTTATAATTTGATCCCATTATGTTTATTAATTCATAAAAGTTGAACGTCTTGAATTTTTCTTTTTGAAAAAAGTAAAAGAAATAACTTTTATATTTTTATTAAGAAATTATTCTGATATATTTTGTTTTAATTGAATCCAGTTTGATCCATTATATTTATTAATTAATAACGGTTGAAAATCTTGAATTTTCCTTTTAAAAAAAATACATTTTATATTTTTATTAAAAATTATGTAACATCATAATTAAATACATAATATTTATAACTTAAAATTTATATAATTCGGTTGTGTATTCTAAATAATTTTTATACATATAAAATTTTTATAAAAATTAAAAAATGTAACATTGAATTAAATCAATTTTTTTTATTTCTTTGCCAAACGTATTAAATCAAATTTTTTGTAAATTTTTTAAAAGTGTTTTTTTTTGGAAAAATTAGTCATTGATTGAAACTTTTAACTTTCAGGGATTAACATATTTAATAGATCAAACTATAAGGAATTTATTAAAATAAATGAACTACAAAAACCCTAATTTAAAATTGAAAAACAAAGACCTACGAATTAATTTTTTAATGAAATAACAAAAATAATTGATGATAAGAGTTTATCAATCTACACAGACTTAAAAGTTTAGTGAGATTTTTTGTAAAGTTTTTTTGCATAATAAATTAAAACTAATTGAGTCCTAAAAGCTCATCAAGTCAATACATGCATTCAAATTCAAAGAACGCTTAAAAGATAACAACTCTATCAAATCATCTATCAACAAAGTCCATAGGTTATAGGTTAAGTGTTAAATCTATACTAATTAGACCAATTTTTGTAAGCATTTTGTCAAGTTTCAAAAATTAACGAAATAAAAAAAATAAGTTACATTATTATCAAGTTATAAACATAGAAACTCATTCTTTATAAATGAACATGCGACAAGAATATGCCCAAATTAAACACCCTGTTAATCCAAGCTCGATGTTTTTAAAAAAAAAAAATCTATGTTTTCATCTTTTTCCTAATTTTGTTGGTTGTTGCATATGTACGAAGGGAAAAGAATATGGACACATCCATGGATCCTTTTCTTGCTGGCTGCAAAGTTATATTCCCTTTCATTACCTATAATCACTTTTCCCATGCCATTATTTTCCGGGAAAGAAAATCTAATGAATCCCGGAAATGCTGCTATAATCTCTGTGAATTCCCACAATGAGAGTCATCCAATCCAAATCAAACTCATACATTTGAATGTCTCTGTCACTATACTCTCCAAGGGCAGTATAGTTGTTCTCAGCTTCATCACAATCGTCCATCTCTCTATTTTGATAGGGATTTTCATAATTAATTTTCCGGGAAAAGAAAATAAAGAAAAAGAAAGGAAAGTGAGGAAAGAAATATCTGTGAAGCTACTCAAATGTCTCTAAAGCATTGTTTCCGCAAAACTACATTGTCCCTAGCTAGCAACATTCTACTTTGTTATCAAGACAAGAAAATACAACTCATGTACACACATTGTCTTGAGAATATATATACTTTAATTGGTAAAATTAAGGAACAAAATAAATTGTATGGAAATATTTAATTAGTTAATTGATTGCTTAAACTGGTTGATTTGTGGGCTGAAATAAAACATAGATTTAAGAGAGAATGACAATTAGATCCCAGAAATTTGAACTAATAACAGTTAGATTCCCAATAATTTTTTTTAAAAAAAAAATGAGTTGTAAATATTAATTCAAACAATTATCAGTAAAAAATTCATTTTACAGTCTAAGAATTATATTTAATATTTAAATATATATTTTGCTATTGAGACTTCTGAACATGCAATTATTTAAATTAATATTTACAACTCTTTGTTTTATAAAGTTTTGTTAGGAATTTAACTGTCATTAATTGTAATTTCTAAGACCTAATCGTCTTCTCCTTATATTTATTTAATTCTATAAGCAAGCAATTAATTAATTCCTTGAAACTTATCAGCTGGATGCTTGCATACAGTGACCATTATTGGTTAATTGGATCCTCAAATTAATTAATTAGTCTTTGGGAGCCTAAAAATCTTGCACATAATAAAGTTAATTTATGGATATTTTCCTATCTTTTAATTCAATATCCGTGTTTTCAAATTATCATGTTTAAATAAATAATAAAATTTAGAACTTGATTTTTTTTTCCTGGCCTACTAAGCTTAAACTAAGTTCAAAAGGTTCAAAATCTAAATTTAAAGGAATCAATTAACTTTTTAGAGTGGAATTCTTTATAGAGGTTTGTATCAATTTTAAAAGTACATTTGCTTGTAACTTACACTATAAGAAAAAAATAATGTTTTAAGAGTAGCGTGACATTCACATGTAGCAAAACTCTCTTCCTCTTGTATTTCTTATTATATGACTTATGAAACTAATAACGTATTTATTATTAAACCTTGGTGTTAATTACTAGCTTAAAAATAATCAGATCCCCAAACGCAGAAGCCACAAAAGTTGTACTTCAACCGCATCATGAGCCAAAAAAGTAGAAATACTCAAAATGTGAACATGGGAATATTAGTTAAAGTACACCAAATTTGACTGTGGAAAATGCCTGAGTATGAAAAGTATACATGTACACACTCAACAACTTAATATATGAAAAATCAATAATATAAAATATCTGAATTTTAAGGATATATTTCAAAAGTAATATAGAGGTATACATTAATAACAAATAACCATAATATGAAAAATGAAAATTCAACACATTCAATTGAACTAGTAAAACATTAAACTAGTGTCTTAATTGATTTATTAAAATACTTTTATCATAACTGATTTAACTGTAATTTTGATCATCAATTCTTGAAATAAAGTGTCATGACCGATTCAATGAATGATTCATTCTTTAGTATCTTTCAAATAACTAAAATTTTGAGTTTCAAGTTTTGAGTTATTTTAGAAAAATCCAAAAAAAATTAATAGTTTAACTATACAATATTGTTGCATATATCGTATAATATACAAGCTCCATGACCATAACGATGCACTCATGTACAAGTATTCTTTTCTTTTTGTTTTTTGTTGGGTCTGTTATCAGGTCCGAAGTCCGAAGTATGTTTGCATTGTGCAAAGCTGAAGTACAATTTGTGCCAGCAGATTGTGGATGTTGAGGAAACTAATATTTGTTATATTCCGATTACGATTTAATAATAATAATCATTTTAATTTTTTTTAATTTCAACGCAAGAAAACTCCAACCACATAATTGACACCCCCCCCCCCTCAAGTCAAAGGTGACAAGGAAAACCCTCTTAGGAGTTCTAGAAGAAAATGAAATCCATCCTCCATCAAAATTCAGTAACATGGAAGCATTTTGACTCCAAGCATTAGCCTCTGTGATTAAGGTAGGTTGCTGCTATTTTGGTTTAAAGAAAAATCAACAGATTCGCCAGGTTTCCTTGAACAAGATGCTGCTTAAATCTCCAATATTTACAATCAAATACTGACAAGCTTGCCACCTAGGTTTTCCAACAAGTGGAACCTAAGATGGGGTTAAAAGAGGTGGTTTTAAATCTCGTCGATCGTTTCATACTCTAGTCTTTGTTTCATTTCTCTATGGCATACACCCAGCTGGAGAATTTAAAAACAAAAAATTATAACTTTCAGTCCTAACTTTTCTTCTATTACTGATTCAATCCCTAAATTTTAACTCCACTCCTAATATTTTCTTGACTCAATGCAAATCAGTCCCTATAACACTTTAACTCAATGAACCACAATAATTGAGTTGTATTGAATTAAAGTTTAAGACTAAATAAACAAGCTAAACTTGTTTCAGGACCAAATAAGCATCCAAATAATGAAACATGCAAAGTGAACTAGCAAGAGGAGCATCGTATATTTATTTGAAAACTGATGCGCTCAAGACTTGATGTTACAGAAGTAATAATTTGAAAAAATCAAAACTCAAAAGGCCAAATCAAAATATACTAATCCCATAGAAAGGACAATGAGGTATCATGAGAAGTTTGGAAGAGGTAGCTTTTATTGCAAAAAAGATCTGCATTGTCCCACAAATCCAGATCAGAGAAATATATAAAAACAAGATTACTTCATCTCCTTCTCGAACCGTTCATGGTAATTGTTACAGATGAAAGCAAATGTCAGAAGGAAATTGCTTCCTTCTAGATGTCGCCAATGTTTATGGGCTCTCGGAGGAACCGCTCCATCTGGCTTGCCCTAGTCTTAATTGACACATCTAGGACTTTCTGGTTAAATTCTACCACTAAACCACCAAGGATGCTAGGATCAATCTGAAAGACCAAAAACGAGAATCTTGATAATGACCTGAGAAAGCAGTTTTATGTGAGGGAGAGATAACAGGAAGAAAAATAATGACACAATACCTTCTGTTCAATAAGAACCTTTTTCCTGCACCTATGATCTCCTGAAGGGTCTCTTTCAGTTGCTTCTCTTCTTGAGGGAGAAGTGGCTGATCCAACACATGAAAATTAGATAATGCAACTACTACCCAACTGTTTCACAACATCACCTCAAATTCTAAAACAGCAGAATCAAATAGAGAGCTGACTAAGCACTGAAAGGTTACCACATTTAGACAGCTTAAAATACAAGACTATAAATCATGAAGTAGCATTTAAAAGGTTTCCTTCAAAAGCAACTATAGAGATGCACCAACGGATACACTGCAAGAAAATTCATATATATATATATACACACGCATATTAATCAAACATGATCTAATGAAATACTTTTCTCTAAAAGGGCACAGCAGTGACAAAATGGCCGTGAACCATCATGTTTTGGGTGCAGCTCATAATTCACTATATTGAATTTCTATATTGAGAGGTAAGGGAGAAAAAGATGCTTTGAGGAATTTACAACCACCCCCCAAAAAAAAAATAAAAAATAAAAAAATTGATCACTGAAAAATGCCTCTCCTTGTATTCGCTTATAGCATATGTAAGTCTACTAATGTTCATGTACATCATATAATTCTAGTCATCCTTTTAACAAAAAGGATGGATTCAAAAGAAAGTACAAATATGTTGCAGTAATTTTTTCCTCAAGTAAAAATTGAATAAACAAATAAATAAGTGTTACTTACAATCACAGTGGTCACAATGGCTTTCACTTCTCCCTTATGTGCCATTGTCAAGTCCGCAAACTTCTTTGCTATGGTATCTAAATTTCTTAGCCTCCCATTCTCAGCCAAGATAACTTTCAGAGAAACAACCAATAAATCAATATCAGCAGAAAAATAAGGCAAAAATCTTACCATCTTAAAATAAGTTGTCAGATAGTATCATTTATGCATTATTATATATACAAAATATCATACAAAATTCAGAATACAATATAATTATCAAATATAAGGAAGCATCAACAATTTGAATGAATGCTTCATTTTCATTTGATTTTCTGACTTAGGCATTCAAGATCAAGATGGTATTCATCTCGATCATTTTGGTCAAAGTACATCACACCCTGTAATGAAATAGTTGTGCATCAATTCTCCCACGTGCATCAACTGATTCTTCCAACACATATTAAAGCACGCATTAAAACAAAACACGTTCCAAATTTTCAGCAGAAACAGAACAAGAACAGACGAAGGCCTGTGATAATTTTATCATGGGCAGGCGGAGCCCCAAGGGTTAACAACCCAAGCTGCAGGGTTGTGCATTACGGATGAGGGCCTATTCTGGAGTGCTTTCACACTGAAAGAAAAGTTTACTCCCTTAAAAAACGCATATTCTAGGCAATGCAGGCATGGGAATTAAGGATAGATATGCCATGAGGATGACTGTGCACCAAAGACAGATGCATAGAGGATAGAAAGAGGAGGCTAAAGGAATTCGGAGACAAAAGAAGTGATGAAGGTCATCAAGCAGAATGAGAAAATTGGGGGGTTAATTAAGCGGGGTTGAGGAGCTGAAAGGGTCAGAACTCAGAAGCTGGCCATTAGAGGCTATTTGAAGGGTGGTTGTTGAGGGAAAGTGCTACTGCTAGCCTCTCAAAAGCTAGCTTTGGCTTGATATTCTGATTTCATTACATCTATATTGTTCTACTCGGAGTTTTGACTGCCACAAGTTGTCTGTTACTCAGTGTATGTTTCTGCTGAATGGAAGGAAATTTTTTCAGCAATCAGCATTGCTTTCCATCACAAGTTATACATATTTTTATCAATTTTTATTTGAGTAGCGGAAGGTCAATTGCATTGAATGTAGTCAGCAATTGAGGACAGTAAGTGGACGATAAAGGAATACCGCCCACAATATTTTAAAGGTGTAGAGTGCTGGCTAGCAAAGAATCAAGCCAAAATAATCCCAGTTTGACATTCAAGGCAGGTCAGGTATTAATATTAATAATGGATAATGGATAAAATATAGAAGTACAATGGATTTCCTTGGATGAACAGGTTACATACCATGAAAGAATATAAATATCAGAATGAACTCAAAGAATCGAGTATCCAAGCAGGATAGTTAACAAAAATAAAAGGGAATTAAGCAAAATAATATGTCGAGTAACTAGAAAAAACAAGGCCGCATTTAGGATTATCATTCAAAAGAATAAGCAAATTCGCTTGCACCATGCCTATAAGTTGATAAAAGATCCAAATAGCCATCAACCTTGTTCAACATTACACGACTTGTACATTACATATATCTGTTTAAGATAAGCACCATATTTCTAGATTCTAGCAAATTTTGCAATAAATAAAAGCATTCAGGTAACATCCTAAAAATATGTCAAATAATACTAGTATTGGGTACAATTTCAAGTGTTTCTTATCAGCTTCTCCAGACAAGTATAATTTTTACAGCTAGACATCATATGATTGGGTATTTCAAAGAAGTCCTTCCACATGCCAAATTGTTTTCGGCTCAAATAGAAGACACCTATGGAACTTTACCTAACTTTCGTGCCCAGATAAAACAGAACAAAGAATGTCCAACCCATGATTATCCATTTAAGACAAATGGTAAATGAGTCAAACAGGGCTCAAACAAAATTCTTTTGATTTCAAATATTATGGTTTAAACGTGCAAACTCTACTGGATTTTAGTAAGCCAGCAAAAGCAGCTATGGAGACATTATTTTACCCCCCCCCAAAAGAAATGATGATCAAGATTGGGATTAAAATAACAGATCTTGACATTGTGTTGATTAGGGGAAAGATTTGCATTGACTTTTCAAAGAATTACTTTTTTTCATTGATATGTATGAATTTCTCACTGATGCAATAAAGAGCCATAACAAGTTAGGCGTCTAAATGCCATTCAAACCATGATACAAGGTATTTCATTATTCACTTTAGCATTATAAACACAGCAATAACTTTGTCAATGGAATAAACAAAGGGAAGCTTATAATACCAAGGAAGTTCTTCGTAATATCTGAAAATTTAGCATCCTTAGAAATTTCCTGCATCGCCTTAATTCTGGTATCTTTAGGCACAGACAAGTCCTTTGTAAACTGTGCAAATTTAGGACTATTCTTTGTTGCCGCAACAAGGTCAAGAATCTCAGACTCAACCTTTTCCAATGCATTAGCTTTAACTGCTGCAGTATACAAAGCAGATGCATAGTTTCCTGAGCCTCCAAACAAGGCCAGTGGCACCTAGAAAGCAATCAGGAAACGACAAAACAAGGAAGAAGTAAGTTAATGCCATGAATACCATAACACTGACATGTGAAGGGAAGCACAATATATGTTGAATCCCTTACATTTATTTTCAGTTGATAGCACAATTTTTTTTCTTTCAATTTCTCTTGTTTCCGTAATCACAGACATGTGAAGGCTCACAAGAAAGTAGACAGATATATAACCAACAATACCCATAAAATTCCCTTCACAGCATGCAAGCGCGCCAGTGAACATGTTGAAGACCAATATATTCAATTACCTTTACTTTTCTTCCTTTTTCCCTGACGCAGTGGCATAATTCCTAGATTCCTGCAAGCATAATATGGGAAGATAGTAAGACACGGTTTAAGTTATCAATTGGATGAAGATTAGCTTTTTCAAGCTCGAAATGTATGGCTATATGCCTCCAGAGAGCACGATAAACAGTCTCATAAGTTTCATGCCCCAAATTCACAAGACAAGGAAAAAACTGAGAAAAGGGATTTGGAGATTAAACTGCTTGCCATCAACTCACTTCTTTAAAATGCAAAAGGAAGAAACGTTCTTTAAAAGCTAAAAAAGTCATTGACAAATCCAAAATGATCAGCTAGAGCAAAAGAAAAGCAAGGGCCAAAAATAAAATCTGTCTATTCGACCCATAAAAATGTGACAAAAATTAAAACTTTAACTGTAAATCGTTCGAATAATTGGAAAAATTTCTATCGACATTACACAACAAAAAAAAGTTCAAATCCAAAAACAATCAGTGTTCCCCGCAGGCAATCTCAAGAAATCAAATATCGTATAACTACATGGAAGATATGAATAAAGCATCCAATCAAACCATTGCAAAGAAGATGGTTCCAAAAGTTATTAGAGCTCAGTTACCAAGGAACTGAAAGGGGTGATCAGGGATCGGTGAAGTCTGGATCTCTGGGTAGAGATAGCATCGGAACTAAATACGTCAATTTGTTGACGAGAGAGATGCCTGATCTAATTCGGCCACACAATGCCATCTCCGAGAAACCCTAATTTCAGATAATTTTGCGTTCTGTGGAGAAACAAGGAGCCAGACTAGAAGCTTTGCTTGCGACGAATTACGGAGGCAGAACAGGAAGCAGTGAATGTAGCCCGGAAGCACGCGATTGCCCTAACGGTGTATAGTTTTTCCGTCAAACCGAAGCTAAATCTGGACACGTGTAACTTGGCCATTTTAATTTTGTTAATTCCGTTTAAAAATTGATAAAATATATTTACTGGCTATTTATAGCCTATAGGTCATAGGATACGAGAATGGAATGAAATTTTTTAAAAAATTTAGATAAAAAATATTTTGTATAATAATCTTAATAAAGAAATGTAGTTGACTGTATCATATACTTAAAACAAAAAAATTACACATTATTTTATGACATGTCCGAAAGTGATAAACTTACACACTTATTAAAAGATAGCAATACAAAAAGAGGACTTTATGCAATCATCATTTTTATAATCATATTCTTTTTTCAAATCTTTTTTATCACATTATGTGAAATCATTTTTGTTCCAATAAGCCTAGTTTCCATAATGGCACGAAATTGCTCCTCAGTCCTCAATCCTTCCTTCAATCGAATGGAAGATTACAAGTTTCAAACTTGAGATGTATACATAGTGTGTGCGCGTGTTTAGTTGTTCCAAGTTGCACTGAAAACAAAATGTACAATATAATCATTTTTTGCTAATATACAATAATGGGAGCATGCAAAATATATGACGTATATTATAAAATGTCAAGTAAAATATAATGGGGTAATTTCCAGTCCATTTCCCCTGGAATTTAATGCTTTAAATATAATGTTGATGGTAATTTTGAAGCAAACGACAATAACGTAGGGTTGTGTGCAGAGACTGGAACAATATCACAGAGCAACTGGTTTCAATTGACACTGTATCATAGAATCTGACGGTCAAATTTCAGTCCTGATGCTTTGAGGTTTTAGACTCAAAAACAACCATGTATTATTTATTGCACATTCATCTTCATATATAACTAACAACAATTTTAAGACAGATGAAACAAGACACGGTTGAGCCGTAGATTGTTTTGAGTAAAAGCCCACTTGTTACTTAAGAGACACCACATAACTAAACTGCAGACATATTAATCCTACGACATGCGACCACTGATAACTATAGCCTCATGAAATTGCTACTCCGGTGGAGAAGCCGCCGCCGGTGGTGGTGATGGTGTCGGGGGCTGCGGCGGCGGCGGTGGGGGAGGATTATTGGGGCGGCTGCGTAGTTGCGTGACCACCTGTGGCGGAGTCGAGGGAGGCGGTGGGGCCGGGGCCGGTGTTTGGTGGAGGAGGATTGGGGTGGCTATAATCCGTCACCGTCTGAGTCTGAATTCCGGTGATCACCGCCACGTCTCCGATCCCCGGAATATGCACGGGGCTCCAGTGCACCTCCATTATGTATCGTGTCACCGGCATCTGCACACGTTTCCACCAGAAAGGAAAAGAACAATCACGATAATCTCAAAAACTTCTTGACGAAGGGTATTGAGTACCAAAACCCAGTATCCTGGTCGGGAGCACCGATCAGGAAGCCATTAGCGTACAAAAGTTCATACATGTATATGTAACTAAAATTTGAAGCAAATACTGAGGAAGACAAGATCGAATCCAAACAGAGCAAGGGGGAAAAAATTTACCTCGTGCGCTTCGAGTCTCTCCTCGCTGGTTCACTCTCAGTTTATGCGAGTAGGTTGGTCAATGGTTCTTTATGCAGTGGCAATTCGGTGGCAGTAACGGGATGGTGTGTGACTTGGGCACGTGACTCGTGGGTTAAGGATTAGGCTTTAATGCGGCCACTCGCTTCTTGTGCAAGAATGCAAGTTTTGTCGGATCCTTGATTAGCATCATAATTCAGATCATCCAAATTTTAATTTAAATATTCCAAATTTAATAAATTATTTTATGCTTTTATTTATGTTTATTAAAAAAATTTATAAACATTATAAAAAATTTTGATAAATCTTTTTATCATTAATTGGTTCAGATTTAATTTAAAAGGTCTAATTTAATCTTAAATTTTTATATATAACTACCTAAATATACTCTATACAATCCAGCTTACATATATACATTGACCTCATTCAAATAAGACAGCAGCTGCTTATAAATAAAGAATTAAGAAAAGCCTTTGCCTTGTGACTCAGCCATAATAGAAGAGTTGATTGCCTTAATACAAGTATAACTAGAGCGTAATACATTATGCAAGAACTCGGAAACTATTAAATAATAGGTTAAAGTATTTTTTTTTCAGTTTTATGCAAGGTTTTATTTTAATTTTTAATTTTAAAAATATATTTTTAATCATTCAACCTTAATATCATTAGTTTCATCACAAAAAAATTTATATTAAATATTTAAATATTGACAAAATATTTTTAAATGTTGACTTATTATGTTTAATTTTTTTAAAATACAATGATCAGCAAAAAATATTTTTGAAACTAATGGTGTTAGGATTAAAAGACTAAAAATATATTATATAAAATTAAGAAATTAAATAAAATTTAATGTAAGTTAGACAATCAAGTGTACTTTGGCCTAAATAAATTACAATTTATTAGAACATTTTTTTTTACTAGCACAAAATATTATTTTAATGATATCAATTTTGTAACAGGCAGACAAGGAGTTGGGATAATAATATATTAGATGGCCAGTTGTGGTGCCATGACTAGCATTGGGCAAATGGGTTACAAGTCAATTTGCGGGCTAGCCCATACGGGTTGGCATTTTTTCAGGTTGAGTTGGGCTAACCTGTCAGATAAAACGGGTTGAAAAACTAACCCAATCCATTTTCTAACGGGCTAGCCAACCAGCGGGGCTGGCCTACAAAAAATTATCAATTTTTTTAATAATTTAAAATATAATATAAATATTTATTTATTTTATATTTTAAAGCAAACTAGCAATTAAAAAAACTTGTAAAATAATAAAATAAATATAGAATTCAATCAAGTAAATTTATTTTGCTATATTTTTACTACCAATTATCTTCTTACTTAGGTGTGCTATTTTTGTTACTGAGAAAGAAAATTAAATATAAACTCATATTATTTTTCTCAGTAAATTCGTATTTATAATTTCAATCAATAAATTTTATGAGATTAATAAATAATATATATTCAAAATATTTTCATAAAAACTAATAAATCATCTTCACAAACTATAACAAAAATTTTATTTATAAATTGTAAAAAGAATTTACATTATATTTTAAATATAAAGAATATATTTGAGAGTCATAAATTATATATTTAAGAAATATTATTATTATTATAGATTTATAAAAAGATATAATATAATTAAAAAATAAAAATTTATTTTTTTAAAATATGCTAGCTGGCGGGCCAACCCATTTAGCTCGCGGGCTAACCCATTTTAGCTCACTAATTTTGCGGGTTGAGCTAACCCAGTCTATTTAAAAAATGGGCCAATTTTTTTCAATCCAACCCATCAAATTGTGTGGGTAAAACGGGCTAGTCCGCTAGTTCAACCCATTTGCTCGGCTCTAGTCATGACCCTGGGTCATGGAGAGCACATTTTTAAAATTAATAATTTAAAAATAATTTAATAATTTAAAAATAATAATATATCCTATGTGGCTTTATATATTGAAATGTCAAGCAATCATCTCACTGTCAATGTTAAGAAAAATATCTTTTTGTTATTAAATAATTATTCATCACTAGATTTTTTATATGATTCTGTAACTAATTTTTCATAAATTTTATAATAAAAAGGCTTTTTCTATTGTTATTGTGGCAACCAATAATATCATTTTAATTTCAAGAAAGCATAAAATTTTTTAAAACTCAAACATCTTTAAAGATGAATTAAGGAGTGTAAAATATTTAAGTCAATGAGTGTAAAATATTACAGCATACACACTCTCCTTATCATTTTTCTAAATTGAGGTGGTTAATAACTATGCTTCTTTTTAATTTTTTTGAACTAAAGTATGCTTTTAATCCTTTAACTTTATATAAGGTTTTAATTAAATTATTTAATTTTGTAAAATTTTTTTAATTTTTTAACCTTAATATTGTGTGTTTTAAATGATTGTTTTTGTGTTAATTATTGTTATTTTAAAAAAAAAATTAAGCTTAAAGCTTAATATGTTAATATTTAAGAATATTTTATCAATATTTAATAACTTAATGTAAAAATCTGTTATAATAAATTAATAGTGTTGGTGTTAAAGCACTAAAAAAGTTTTTATAAAATTAAAAAATTAAAATAAAATATTGTATAAAATTAAAAAAATAAATATATATTTTAATTATTTTTTTAAGTATACTCGCTCTATGTTGAGAGCAAGCCTTCATTATGTTGACATTTCCGATGCGGAACGGTAAGCCTTTGGTGCGCAAGCCTCACCATGCCTTTTACCAATGCCTTTCTTTAATGTTACGATTTTTGATCTTCCTCTACTCAGTTGTAAAAAATTTTTAATTTTAAATATGATTATAATATTTTACATGATTTTTACCGTGATTAAGTAATAAAAAAATAAATTTGAGGAGATTGAAATTAGAGATTAAAATTAAAATTGACATTAACATTTTAAAATTACAGTTGGTGGTATCAAATAATTAATCTATTTAAATTTCAGTTGGGTATAAATTAATATGATTAATTTTAATTATAATTAATTATGTTAATTTTAGTTATACAAATGAGCATAAAAATATTACTTTTAAAAATAAATTATTGATAAAGTTATATATAATATTATTAAATTTATTAAACTTTATTTAAAAAAATATTATTATTTAATAATAAAATTAAATTTATAAATAATCTCTCAACTTCTTTTAAAATGTAATGCTGATTCAATAATTAATTATTAAATTTATTGGCTGTTAAAATTATTTTTATTAAAAAATTAATTTTAGATCAAAAAATCAATTTCATATCCCATCGTAGGGGGTATAGAATGTTTACTTTTATTTTATTTTATAATTAAATATATATTAAGAAAAATTATATTATAATATTTCTTATAATTAATAAAAAAATTGTAACCTATAACCATTTTCTCTAACGCGATAGAACCCCGAACCTCCCTGCCCCTTGCCGGCTGCCGCATCCAT